GACTTCACATCCACCCTTGAACCTGCCGCTCTGTCCCAGGAGGCGGGTGTGCTGTTGGCTTTGAGCCCATCGGCATCTGTCCTGGAGCTGGGGTGGGGTCAGTCCCACCCGAGCCGCATAGCTGAGAATGGTGGGCTCTGTCGAGAAACAGCTGGGTGCTGTCAACACCAGGAGAGGGGTTGGCGCTGGCACGGAGTCCAGGATGGCCAGCTCTATGAGCTGGAAGGGGAAAAGGAAGACGGCCTTGATGCCACCACCTGGGGGGACCACGTTTGCGTGTTGGGGCCTTTTTCTATGCCTGGATGATGCATGAGATGATGGTGCTAGTCCCACTGAAGAGACGGTGACATTGAGTGATAACTGTGTACCAGGTGCTGTGTGCTTCATGAACATCAAGCCCCCAGTCCTTCTGTCACCCCAGGAGGCGTTCACTGAGCAGAGGTGGACCGAGCCCCGCTTCCGTGCTGGGCACATCATGGGTACCAGGCTGCCCTCCCTGGAGCTTCTGTTCTTATAGACATGACCGTCCCCGTTTTATGGGTGAGAAAATTGAGTCTCGGTAGGTGAGTTCCTGGCTGTGGGATCCTGGCTCAGTCACATCACCTTTCTGGGCCCCAGTTTACTTGTCCACAACAGGGGTCAGCTACTTGCCCCCCTCAGCCCGGATCCAGCCCACTGCCCATCTTGGTGGATGAGTCCTGACCGGTGCATGGCTGTGCCCCTTCCTGTCCTGCCCTCTGTGGCCGCCCTGGCTCCACATGGTGGAGTCGAGGCGTTGGGTGGAGACTGCTGGGGCCAGCAAAACCCAGAGCACTCACGATCTGGCCTTTTGTGGTAGAGCCTGCTGGCCCTTGACCTAGAAGAGGAGGATAATTGTACCTGCATGAGCGAACGTGGGCTCCGCGAGGCCCTCTCCCCAGGGTGTCCCCTGCCTGTCGCCAACCCCTTGGGTTTGTTTCAGGATCCAGGGAGAAATGGTGTGTTTGACACTTAGCACAATGCCTGGTACCCTATACGGGCTCCTTGAACTTGAGCTATTATCCTCCTGCGATGGAACGAGGGAGGGCGGGCCTGGGGGTCCAGAATGTGGGACGACCCTCCACCCAGATCAGTGTGCTCTGGAGACCGACCGCCCTGGGGAGGCCGTCTCAGCTGCTGGGAGCTGAAACTTGAAAGGATTAGCAGACGCTGCCGTCTTGGTAGGCTCAGGGCTGACGGCAGCCTTCAGCGGAGAGCTTCCCTGTCCCCCGGTGAGCCCCTGTGAGTGGCAGTGACAGCGCCCCCGGATGTGGGCCTCAGGCCTGCGGCCCCAGAGCTGCCCGCCCACCGGCCGCGGCTATTGTCTGCTGGCCGCGGTGTGGCTCAGGGCAGGGGCCTGTGGGCAGGGGGACTGTGGGAACGGATTAGAGGCCAGGGGCTTGCGTCCCCCCTGCATAAACTCCTGATCAAAGGCATTCCTGGGATGACAGAGCCTGTGTGCTGCAGAGGCCAGGCCAGGCCAGGCCAGCCCAGCGTGCGGGACACACGCCCTGCGTAGTCGCCCCCGGGAGCCCATCCTGCAGCGCCAACGGCTGGGATTGGCCTCGTGGTGGGATGGCTGTCCCCCACCACATGCAGAGCCAGCCCCGGCTTCCAGGAGGGACAGGCTGGGGGGTGGTCGCCCACCTCTGCAAGCGTGCCTCTGCCTCTCATCTGTGGACCTGGCAGGGAACTGACTGGCTTTAGCTCCCACGCTGTGTCCTGGGGCCTACTGGGCCTTGTCAGACAATGAGATGCTGCCTGGCCCCTGGGGAGCCTCCCAGTCCCAGATTCCTCACAGCCGAGGGCCTGCCCCCTGCACTCGGGTCAGGCAGGGCCTGGCCTCTGCGACTCACAAAGCCTGGAGTTCCTCCGCACAGCTCCACTCCTGAGCACCCACTGTGTGCAGGCGGGGAGCAGGGGCGGGGAGGGGTGGAGAGCGGGTGGGGGGAGTTGGAGGCTGGCAGAGAAGGATCAGTGAGACTGGCTGTCTTCAAGGGCTTACGAAACACGTGTGATGGTTCCGGGACCACCCGGAGCCACCTGTCTGGGGCCAGGGTGGGGACTGCCTGTAGAAGATCTCACATGAGCCTGAGGGAGAGCAGAGGGGGAGGGACTTCAGGCACCGCACTGGAGGTTGGAAGTGGTCTGGGGTGAGGCTGGGGGAGACAGGCCAGATCCCAGGACCCTGGATGGAGCTGGAAGGAGCTAAAAGCCCTAGGAGGGTCTGGCAGAGGCTGCCTGGGAGGCAGGAAGACCCCCGGTGAACCAGAGGGCCCGAGAGGGAACAGGGGTTCGGGCTGCCGGGAGTGGGCAGTGGAGGGTGCTGCTGGAAGCCTTTGTCTCAGAAGTCCCTCAGAAGCCAGCTTTATGTTTGCCGTCTGCATGGGGCAGTCACCCCCCCTGCCACCAGGGTATGAGGCCTTGGCTGCCACCCCACGAGGGGACACAGCTGCCCAAGGTAATATCTGTGGTCTGAGAGGTCAGTGCCCACGGCATAACCAAGAGGCGCCCACTGACCCCTCCTCCCGGGGGCTTCACAGCTGGAGAGACGGCCCTGGGGGACTTGGGGCCCTCCTCACTCAGCCCAAGCCCAAACCCTCTGTGTACTTACGGCCACGCATCGTGTCCCATCCTGGCTTCCTCCCTCTGCACCCCCTGCCCTGCCACCCCTCGTCCCCTCTGCACCCTCACTCCCTCTTCCTTCCCACTGTCTGACCCCCCAGCCTACAAATAGGTCTTCCATCTGAAACATCAGAAACCGTGAAACAGCCCCATGGGCCTGGCCTCCTGTGTGTAGAGCGGGCGGCTCTCCCGCCTCCTCTGCCTGGATTCTTGCTTGAATTTAATACAGCCAGAATATTACTCCTGGTCCTCCTGAAACTGCTCCTCAGGGTACCCCGAGGCCACCGCTTGGGCCCTGCTACACGCATGTGGTCTGGGGAGACAGACCATCGATGTCACCAGGCACCCCTGGTTCTCCCCATGCTGACACAGATGGCGTGTCCCTGGGACTGCACCACCGCAATGCTGCAGTCATCGGGCACCTGGCCTTCAGGGCGCCTCCTGCGGCTCCGACTGTCCCCGGTCTCCTGCTGTGTGGGACTCCTTTCTGGGCACCCTGCAGGCTCCAGGGCAGGGGCCTGGCCTCACATCCCATCTGCCCTGCCTGGGGCTGGCGCCCTGACCTCGTGGGATCCCCCCGGACAGGTGGCGCTTCCTAAAGGCTGGAGTGAACTGACCTGACAAGGAGGGACATCCTTGGCATGTGACCTGGCCCGCCTCCTGGCTCCCAAGCTCTCGCTGAATTCTCAGCCAGGGCTGGAGGGTGCATCAGGGAACCCCAGGCCCTGGGAAGAGGCCTCAGCCCCACAGAGCTGGAACCAGGGTTCACTCTCTGCTCCCCACCGCCACCCGGAGTTGGAAATGTGGCAGATGTCCAGAGGTGGGCGTCACAGGTGTCCACTCAGCCTCCCAGGTTGCTCGGTCCGTGTGAAAGGCCACTGGACCACGCCCAGACACTTGAGTTGCTCTCCCTGAGCTTGGGGCACCTCAGGGCTATGATTGCACCAGAAGAGTTAAGGAATGCAGACTTTATTTTCCTATCTGCAGGTAACCTGGGAGGGTGATCTGGCCAGACGTGGTCTGGTCACCAGGCAGTGGTGTGGTTGCATTATGGAGGCCAGAAGCCGTTGTCTGAGACGGTCGGGGCTGCCTGCGCATGTCTCCCCAGTGTCTTCTCAGGGGCCTCCCTCCTGGGGATCCACAGGGCCCTCCCACCACGCACCCAGCTGGGAGAGCATCTTGTACTCCTGGTCACCTGCGGACGGCTGGCTATGTCCGGAGACATCTTTGGTTGTCATCTAGTGGGTGGAGGCCAGAGAGGCAGCTAAACACCCCACAGTGCGTGGGACAGCCCCCGATGGTGGATGACCTGGCCCCAGGTGTCAGCGATGCCGAGGAGGGGCCCCAGCCTGTCCACCACCCCCACCCAAGGAACCGGCAGCTTGGGGCCCCCAGCCCCGACTCCCTGCCCACCCCAGAAACAGGCAGGCACTGCACTGGGGTTTTACCAATTTTATTTCTAGGCTTTTCACGTTTGTCTTGTTTCCTGCTGGAAACGTGCTGGTTACATGTCTGTGCTGGGAAACACCGTGGTGTGCGACGAAAAACACACAGACCCGAAGCACCTGCCTGCCGGGACCCACAGACTCGCTGGTCACGGGACAGACTCCCTGCGCTCCCGGACCCCCCACCGGCCTTTGAGCACATACATGTCGACCCCCCACCACGGACAGACGGTCCCTAAGAGACCCCCGTTTGGTTCAGACAGAGATGCCGCAGGCAGAATGGTTGAGGTAAGCGGAAGCCGTGTTCCCGCAGGCGCGGGTAGGGCGGGCGGGCTGCGCATGGCCTTGGTGCTCACGGGCTGGCAGACCAGCCGGTGCAACTCCTTTTGGTTCGGCAGCGTGCTAGGCAGCTCTTGGGGGCACAGCTCTGTGAGCTGGCTTCGTGGAGATCTGTAGTCTTTTTAAATTAGCATTTTGCTGTAATGAACAGAACAAGACAGAGAACACTAGTCCGTGATAACAGACTCAACACACCCCGAACAGTAACACATTGCAGAAGCTATTCCAATCTCCCCAAGGACTGAGTCCTCAAGCACAGCACCACGGTGGCACGTGAAGGCGCACTTGTTACAATAATAATAATAATAATGATGATGCAACTTTTCATAGCTATATGCACAGGACGACACAGGTGTCAAAACTACTATGATGGGACATCCCAGGTCAGACGGAGAGTCCAGCGTAACAGGCACAGGGCAAGGGAAAGGTCACAGCCTGTCTTCCGAGACGCCCGGGGTCCCCGGCGGGGGGACCCACCACGTCCCTTCTTGGGATCGCGTCCGCATGTCTGTTTGCCGAAGCAGGAGGCCGTGGGTCAGCCGGAGCCTGGCCGCCTGGCCTGCACATGGCTAAGTGAAGCATGAGGTACTGTGAAACAGGGACCTTTTTGGAATAGAGCAGTAATCACATTAAGTCAAAACTGATCACATAAAACAAAAAAACAAAAACAAAACCTACCAAAAAAAAGGCCTCTGTCATACATTTTTCTATGAGAAAATCAAAACGAGAACATGGTAGTTATCTGACATTGTAAAACAAACAAACCAAAAAAAAAAAAACAAAAACAAAAACAAAAAACCGATCCTCCAATAGCAGCAAAACAATGTGAAAGAGACACAGAAGCGACATGAATCTGTTTCCAAACCGGGCTGGGAAGTCATCGGTAGCAGCGAATAAGAAAACAAAGACAGCGGAGCTGCAGCCTGTCCCAAGCGTGGTCCCACCCGCCTCCCACCCCACACTTCCTCCCTCACCTCCTCTCTCCCTCCAAACGCCCCCTACATAATAATTACGAAAAGGTACATAGCCAAGATGTGCAAATCGTCTGTTGGTTGCTGTATTTTCCTTTGAAAGGAGGGGACGGGGGCAAGAATGCATTGGAACTGAACTTGTTTCAAGCATCCTAAATGGTCCTTGGGACTCCGACGCCCTCGGACTGCGTCACTCGGGAACGAAAACACGCCAGATCAGCCGAATCAATGTCTGTGTTTTTCCCTTGGGACTTAATTTTTCCCCTCTCCTATAAAAGGACCTAACTTTTATAAACTGTAGTACACCTGCAACATCTAAGGCAGAAAGTGTGTGTGTGTGTGTGTGTGTGTGTGTGTGTGTAAATCAAGGGGGAGACTGCATTACTTTATAAAATCATACTGGCCTTACGAACATCCTCTGCAATAAATATTCTTTTTAGCCTTAACTATAAATTATATATTTTAGTGTTTAAAACCCTTCCGTTGTAAAACATCTAAAGATAACCCTGAAACTGTTGGCTCTCTAGGTAAACCTTTAAGGCCCCTACTTTCAAACACCAGTTGGCACCAAAGGACTCCTAAAACTTCAACTGCTCTACAGAAAAGGGAAGGAACACATCATCCTGGCAATGTGAGAATGCACATTTTCTTCTTGACCGGAACCTAGCCTTCCAAAACATCCCCCTTTCGCTCACACCATAGTGACATGCACCTGCCCTGTAATCCTGTCTGCACACAAGCACTGGAATATTCCCAAACCATTCCATTAAGAAACTGCTCCACCCCCCACCCCCCGCCTTCCTCCACACACATCAACAGAGATCGCCTAGAACTACGGGACTGAAAGTGCTTTGAAATGGAATGGTTTTGGAATATTGAGAAGGAAAAAAAAAAAAAGACTGTGGCTTTCACCTGGACGTGAGCAGGCTGCAGGTCTGTTGGGTGAAAAACCAGCATTTCATAAACAGATAACTACAAAAATAGGAAGATTATAAAAATAGAATATATTAGGTCACTATCGCGGTTTCTCTTTGCGGTAGCGGACGCTGGGAGTCGGAGGTGGCTTTCCGTCCCTGCTACGCTGGCCGGCGCCCGACAAACCGCTCAGGTGGTCGGTCCACAGGAAGAAAGAGGATTAGCCCTCGAGGATGCTGAACTCTACGCTACGCCAGCCGAGAGGTTACATCAACCATGGGCAAGGGGAAGGTTACACGCCTACCTACGAAATAAAATAAACACGCACAAATGACTTATAAAGTGACTACATGCATAAAAGCAAGATACAGGATGCCTAGAACCGCTTTAAAGCTGTGCTCTGAGGAGAAGCACACAGGTACATTTCTCTATCTAAAACCCTCTTCTACTTTAAAAACGGGTTGTGGACTTTTTTCTATTTTTTTAAACCGTTTTTATGTCTTTTTTTTTGTTTGTTTCTTTTAAACACATAAAGAATCAAACCTACTCCTCCCCTGTAGACTTGCTCCTTGTGTTAATAATGCCTATCCTTACAACAGAGACACGAACACATTAATATAAAAACTAGTTGATTATGGGGTATAAAATCGTCTATTTTTGTAGCACAACCCCCCTCCTGCCAGCTCAGGGTTACGCAAATACTATTTTTTCTCTCCTTTTTTCTTTAAAGACCGGCTTTCGGGTACTTTTTTTTCTTCTGCTTAAGTCAGAGACGGAAGGGAGAAAGAGGAAAGAGAAAACCAGCAGTGAGGGGCGGGCCGCTCTCCCTCAGGTCGTGGCCAGGCCTGAGCGGCTCTGTCCCCGGAGCGAGCACCCTCAAATGTTCACGTCCCGCACGTCGGTGGGCGTGCAGGCCAGGTCGACCTCCTCCTCTTCCTCCTCCTCCTCTGCGGCCTTGGGGTCCAGGTTTTGCTGCTGGGCCTGGCGCAGGCTGGACTCCAGGAGGGCTTCGATCTGCTCCTGGCACGCACGGAGGCAGTCCTGGCGAGATGGGGGTCCTCAAAAGGGGCCTGCAGCGAGGGGTCCCCCCCTGATGCTAACCTAAAACACCGCCTCCCCCAGACCCAGGGAAGGAAGACATGGAAGCTGCAGCCCAGGCTCCAGGACTGACAGTGTGGGCCCATTTGGCCACCAGCTGTCCCCCGAGGGGCCCCCACATCAACCAGGCAGTGGTGAGCACACTCAGGATGGAAGGTCTCCCGAGGACGCAGCTGCTCCCTGTCCGCCTGCCTTGCCTGCCCCGAGTCCCTAGCAGGGCCCAGGCCCCTAGCTGGAATTCCTCCCCAGGGCTCTGCTCTCCAGCTCCAGGTTCCCACCAGCCCCACCGCTGCCCCCAGCCAATTCAGCACCATCTGATCCAGGGCAGGGAGGCCCTCTGAGCCCTGCTTTTCGGACTTAACCTCTGCCACATCGGCCCTCATGGTGAACCCAGCCGGCCGTGATGAATGGCCGTCAAAAGCGTTCGGCCGTGCATGATCGGGAATGAATGCTGGGTGGCCCAGGACCCTTTATTTCCCATCCTCTCCTGCTCAGGCCCGCGTCCTGGGAGATGCACTGGCCTTGCACAGCTCCCACCCGCTGCAGACTTCCCCTCAACGTGACCACCCTGCACTTTCAATGGGGAGGCGGAACCACGGAGTCCAGGGGGCTCTCCTGGTCTCACTGGGGGCCGATCTCCCAGCAGCTCGAAGGCGCCTCTTGCAGCCCAGGCAACCTCGGCTCCCAGGTCTGAATGGGGAGGCCGCCCCAACCGCCGGAAGGCCACCCTCTACTCTACTACACCTCAACTCTAGAACCAGGTAAAGTCTCCTGTGCAGCGTGGGAAACAGACCCACGCCTTTCCCACAGGCATGGGGATCAGCCGCAGGCCCCCACGGGGAAGGGGCTGCTAACTTCCACCTAGCCAGGGCTGCAAACAGGTGGCCCCTAAGAGGTGGAGCCAGGCAGAAGGGCTTCTGAACCCCTGGGGCTCTCCTACGTGTAAGGGCTCTGTGCCTTCCAGGTGGGGGGGGGACTTTCCTCTCCACTCTCCGGAAATCCATCAGGGCAAATGAGGAAGGCAGGGAAGGTGCAAGTGGTCCTTCAGAAGAGGAAAGTGAGGCCCAGGAGGTCTGGTGTGGAACCCAAGACTCCTGATGGGCACCTCAGGCTCTGATCTAAACCCCCATGGCAGCCTCAGGGGAGATGGCTTACTTGCCCCTGGAATCCAGGGGGCTGCGGGGTGGAGCTGAGAGCAGAGAAGGGCAGGAAGGGCCAGCTTATACTTGGGCTCCCTGGCCACGACCTGGGGCCTCCACTGCCTAGGGTTTCCCGCGCCTGAGCTCAGTTGCATCTGTCCTCCAGGCTAATGAATTTTAGCCTCAATCAACTTCTCCCCCACCCACCAGCCGTGAGGCACTTTTGTTTCAGATCTAATTAAAACAATATTCAAATGAGGGTTCACAAGACGATGTCCTACAACTGTCTGTGGACAGCACACTGTTGGTGGCGTTTCCAGCCGGGGGAGGCTGACCTCCGGCAAGGATGCACCATCCCTCAGGTGGCCACAGAGGCCGACAGGGGAGGCCTCCCGCCTCCAGGAGCTGCCTGCGCCTGCGGACAAGGACGCTTCTGCCTCTGGGGGGGGACACACAGGTGGCAGCCAGGCGCCGTTGGCAGAGGACAGGCAGGCGTCCACCTGGCACCTACCTTTCCTTCCTCGAGCCTTCTGGACACTCGAGGGCGGACTACCAGGAGGCGGCCTGAGCCAGAGCTGACCTGGACTGCGGCCAAGGTGGTCACTCGCTCCCACCCCGCATACCAGCGGGGTCGCCACTGACCTGTCTCCCCCCCACCCCCGAACCTCGCTGGTCTAATTTGGTAAATGCCGCGAACCCTTGTAATTATTTTAATTCTTTAAGAAAAAAGACTCGGGAATAAGACAATGGCATTTTTAAGAAGAAAGATACAACCGACTGTGGCTTTAACTGCCGTGGCCCCTCACAGCGCCGTAAAGACAAGCCGCCTGAGCCGGGCCGGCTGCGGGCTGCAGACCTCGCAGGGCCCTTGTAACGCGCCCACTTACTGGGCATCCACGTTGTCGCCGGACAAAGCGCGACCGTGCCCCGCCCCACTGTTAGGGCGTAGATCATTGACCCAGACTGCCTTGTGGCCCCTCTCCCTGGAGGGCTCCCCCTGGTAGGGGTTCATGCTCCTGGGAGCCCTGGGGACACCCGGAGTCTGTGAGGACCCGCCCGCCCCCAGGAGAAGGGGTGGAGTGGCCCCTAGACAGCCTGGGCCGGAGCCGCGGCCGGGTCTCTGCCTCTGCATGCAGGTGGCTGCCTGTCCCCATGTGGCCCTGGCCCCTGCAGCTTCCCACCCCGCCAACCCCAGGGCACTCGATGCTTCCAGTACCCAGAGCTGGCAGCCCCCCCCACCAGCCAGTGCGGGAGCAGTCACTTACCGGGTCACACCTGATCACTTTGGAAAGGAACCGCGTGAGGCGGTGGTAAGACAGGAAGCTGCTGGAGCCTCCCAGGTGCAGGCCTTGCACCGCGGCCACCACACTCCCAGCAGCCACCATCGAGGGCGGGTTGGAAATGAACTTCACGTCTACAGCAGAGGGAGAGAGGCAGAGGGGTCGTGAGTGGGGATGCTGCGGGATCCCAGTGATCTGGGAACCCCTGAGCCCCTGGTCTGCAAACAGCCGATTTCGAGGGGGCCATCGGGAAGTGGGCGAGGCTCCCTGCACCCCAGCCTCAGTTGGTCATCATCCTGGGCACCAGCGAGGGCAGAAGCCAGGCTCGGACCCGCAAAGTGAAAGAGAGCTTGTGATGCTCAATTAAAAACAGCAGACAAGCAAACGAGAAACAGCCATGGGAAGACACAATGGGCGGAGGCCTCCGGGTGGGTGGGGGGTGTCCTTCCCTTCCTCCCTCTAGCCCAAGAGTTCTTACAAAAATAAAAGCCCGGAGGAAAAACGGGGAGGACTCAGAAGCAAGCAGGAGTCCCCTCTACAGCACTGACCCCAAGTCCCTGCACGGCCAGGTCATAGGGACTTCGCCGGCAGGCCTCATCCCGGGCAAAGCTACTCCCCAGATCCCTCGGGCGCACCGGGGTGGCCCCTCACTGCAGTGAGCTGCGCGCCCCCACTTTACCTGCCTCCAGGGAGGCCGTAAGGGTGTAGTGATACCCCATTACTTTCGTCCACCCCTGTCAGCACCTCTTCAACTGCAGTGAAACCCTCCACCTCCAGGGGGGCCCTGGTTCCCTGGGTGGCACCAGGCCAGGGCCACCTCCTGGCAGTTCCCTGACTTGGGAACGTTTTGCCTCCTGCGGGAAACCTGTGGCCCCTCGCACACCTGTTATGGAGATGGGGAAGCCATAAGGACACTGAAGTGGCCACACAGCGCCCATGGGCTGCCTTTCTCTTGCTCCCAGCGAGGAAGCAGCATCTGAACCAGGGGATCTGTTGGCCTGGAGCCCTGCCCTATAAGGGCCAAGCGTGGCACCTGGCATCTGTCAGCCCCCATCACCTCCTCCTGCACCACTGAGCACCCAGAAATGGGGCCAGTGAGCTGAATGGGAGGTGATCAGGCACAGAGTGGGTGGGGCCCCCTCGGGCTGAGATGTCATCCCGGAATCAACAGCCTGGGCCTTGGGGGGTGGGCGCCATTGGTAGGGCTGGGGAGGAAGAAAGGCAGCCACCCCGATGGGGTGGAAAAGCAGCTGCTGGGCGCTCTGACCGCTTAAAAGGAAGCCCTTCCCAAGGAGGCCACCTCTCCCCTTCAAATGAGAGCCATGAATGGAAGCTCTCCATCGAGGCCGACCAGGCCTGCACAGAAATGGCCAGAGCACAGGTTCTGACCTGCTGCACCTCCAGACCCCAGTCTAAGCGGGGCGGAGCGGCGGGAGCGGGCTGTGTGCCCACGCGCCTCGTGGGGCTCGTCCGCTTACACCAGGCGCGTGTAGATTTCAACACCAAAGCTCCAGCAGTGGTTCCTACACGCCGCCCCGCTGTTCAGCCCAGCGGGCCGCAGTCAGAGCGGGCATCGGAGCCGCGTGGCTTTGCTGCCCACACTCAGACCCACTCATTAAGCTTGGTCCATGCCAGCTTCAAAAAGCACTGATAATTCTTCACCTCGCCAGAAGGCTCTACTGTGGATACATGTACGCACGCGTGTTAAAAGGGCAAAACCCAACCAAGTGTGTGGGTGACATGCCCCCCTCCACCCCGTGCACATTTGGGAACCCAGGTCTGCAGGGTGCACAGAGCGGGGAAGCAGGGCCCGCCCCCGACAGCCCCATTAAAAGGGACCCTTGCCATGTGGAGGGCAAAGTATCTCCCAGGACTTTTGCTCACGCCTCCACTTCACAAAACTGGTTTGTTTCTAGGCTGTAATATGTCACTCTCATCCCGAGGCCCCCGGTGACTAAGGACACAGCTGCATGTCAGCGCGTTCAAACGGTGCAGGACCAGGACTTGGGGGGCGGGTGCTGCTCCCCTCCCCTGGCCTGCCTGTCCCCCGATGGGGCCCCACTCTGGAGTAAATGCATGCGAAAAGCTGGGGTTGCCCCCAGCCATCCCTCCACCTTCACCCCAGGTGTGCCCAGGTGTCGATTCCTCGGGCCACACCCCCAGGCCAGGAGTGCTTGCTGGCCCAGGCTTAGCTGCTGGAGAGCTGGCGCCAAGCACAGTAACAGCCTCTGCACCAGGCTTCTGAGCTGCCAGCACCCCATGAAGGCTACACAGCCCGCTCCCCAGGGGGTCCTGGGAGACGGGGAGCTCCGGGCCGCCCTGGGGGGAGGCTGTGCAAGAACTGTTCCTCGCATTATCTACAGGAAACTTCGCTGTTTCTCTGCACTACTTTCAGCTCCATAAAAGGCTGCCTGGAAGTCTCCGGAGGCCTCTCTTCTCGGAGGCGTCCCAGCCAGAGAATGCCTCCCTGCCCGCTTGCTGGGCTGGCCCCTGGAGGCCGAAGGGACGTGGGTGAGAGGCTCCCCACCCCCGCCCAAGGGCCTGTGCTGCGGGGCAGGAAAGCCTGGGGAGAGGGCGCCCTGAACCCTCAGATCCAAAGAGGCCAAAGAAGTTTTTGGTCTCTTGTCTGCCCCTCCCCCAAAATGGCTCACTTGGAGGGACCCAGAGAAGGGGATCGCGCCTTGAGCAGCAGAAGAGGGTAGAGGGGCCAGCAGAATCCTCCCAAGACTCCTGACCCAGAAGTACCAGCCCCCAGAGCTCCCGCATATTAGGGAGGCACAACAAGATGTCAGGCTGGGGGGGGCTCTGTCCCTTCTGGGGAGGAGGTAGATGTCAACCCCCCTCTTTGGTGCTGTGGGGCCTTCAGGTCACCCAGAGTGAGCCCCAAACAGATTTGACAGCTGAGGCCTGACCGGGGTGGAGGTGGCTCACAGCAGGGCTGGAGGGATGGGGGGCATGGGCCCTCTGGTCAGGGTCTCCAGGTGTCCTGGGCCCGGCTCATTGGATCAGAGGCGAGGACGAGGTTGCAGGGGGTCAGAGGCAGGGTTGGCAGAAGCAGGAAGCAACACTGTGGTCTGCACTGGGTTCTGAAGACTGGTT